AGATGAATACTTGTGATTTTAATTAAATTATATTTAATAAAATAAAATATTGAATATAAATCTCTTTGAAAATAAGCAGTTACCACTAAAGAGATGTCTTAATCTTTAATAATTGATTGAGAAGGCACTTATTTTTAATGAAAAATAAACCTACATTACCTATTATTACTTTGAGCAAGTCCTGGTAGAGGCGAAATACGAAGTAAGTATTATACAAATGCATTATATTACATACTGCTAACGGTGTACTGTGCGGCAGGACTAGCTTGATATCGGTCAAGGCGTCCCTCCCAAGGTTACGGTGAATGAGTAGTAGTCAGAATTTGGTTACCGAAGATGATCCATTGGTTACACCAAAACAAAATCCTGGGAATGTTGTGTCTGCTGAAAAGAGAACCTTAAAATACCAATCATATTTATTAACACAGATAATGATAGCAATTCTATTGTATAAACTAGACTTCTATATTTTATCCTATTAAACTGCATTTTAAATTCTGTAAATAGAACGGGACTTACACCCGTAGTCTCTAATCTAGAAGAAGGCATAACTTAACTAGGAAACTGCTAATCTAACGAAATACCCAAGTAGATTAATTTAATTCCATATAAACATTTTGTTTTATCCCTTGACACATTAGTGGACTGCCATAATAAGTAAATGCTTAGCGTAAGGGTCAACATAACGTATGTCCATTAATGTCGTTGGGTAGTAATTGCTTAATGTTGTTAAGTGGTTCCCAGTTATTGGTGAAATTGGAAGATTCCTAGATAATTAGGCGACAGATTTGGGAGACTCTTGTGAGAACGAACATTATTGTATTATAGTTTGCAAGAGTATTAAGTATCTCATATTACTTTTAAACACACACCCGGTTTCAGAATTGAGGATTTAAAGTTAAGAACATCTCAAACTGTACTTAAGCATCACTCAAATATGATTTCGTTTCTGATTATAGTTTTTTTTAATAATTAGCTACGACTTTTGACTTGTGAAAGTTAAAATACTTAAGTTATTGAAAATAATCAGTTGAGATTTTGTGCTTTTCCCAATTCAAGAACCGGCTGATAATTAATATATTATCAGTTTTTAGTCACCTACTGTTAGACTATACGAATATAAAAAGAAAAAAAATTGTTGTTTGTTTTTCAATGAATAGGCCTTGAAACTACTGGAGCGATTTTATAAATTCTTTCACTTACGGAAAGCTACGTACATGCGAATGACATAGGCTATAATTTACGAGGGCAAAGTCGCGGGAAAATAATTAGTCGTGAATAAGTTAATTCTGTTTTTGTTAATTTTTTAAGTTAAATTAACTTATCCAATTTTAAACTATCGTGCTGCATTATGAAATATTTATAATACCGGGTATTAGACGTGATTTTACACTGACCTGCGCCGTTTCGTCCGACGGTGTAACCCACCAGCCGTGGTCACGAGACTGGAGCAGCAAGTCTACGCCTCTGCATCCGAGGTTGAATCTTCTTCCACCCTCAGATTTTTCATCCAACTACCATCACAAACAATACTAACGGTGTCCCTATTCCGCACATGAGCCGTATTCTGGAGATTCACTGATTGCGAAAAAAGAGGTTGCGTTTTAGCAAATACTGATTTTCATGCTTGTGACAATTTATATCCGTCTTTCCGATTTAAGTTATTAGGGTGTTTCTTAATTTCAATCGTCTCACGCACTACTCTTGAATAAAAGTGGCGGTCTGTGGAAAGGACTTGCTTTGACACAAGGCATATAGGCTGACCGTCTACTCACCATAGGATACCTGTGCCTTTTCACTGGCTGCTTTTGTCGTCCTATCACCTGGTATCCGTTTCTATGTAGATACCAATTTACTACAGATTGCAGGTGACGGGGGTGATGATGAGATTTTGCGTTTAGGTATCTATCCGTGTGCGTTGGTTTTTGGTACACACAGTGTGTTAGGGACTCATCAGATTTTGCGGTTAATCGAACATCTAAAAAAAAGGCAATGATTTTTCCGCTTCCATTTCGTATGTAAACCGAATATTTGGGTGAATGCAGTTTAGATGGTTAAGGAGTTGATCTACATGTTGGCCATCCTTAACCACGCTAAATACGTCATTTACATACCTCTTCCAAATACTTCACTATACTAGAGACAAATTGTAGTGCCTTTTCTTCAAAGTACGCCATCCTAATGTTGGCAAGTACTGGGGCTACTGGACTTCTCATTGCTAGGCCATCAATTTGAAGGCAATATTACCCTTGGAAGAGAAAATAGCTGCCCCGCAGACAGTGGTCAAGTAGCTCATCATATTTCATATTATCAGCAAAACTATTTTTCATATTATCCTTTCACTGTAAAACTATTTCATCCATTTCATATGTATATATTATTACATTCTTTATTGTTTTTATATATTTTTTATTTGTTATAATATATTAACGCTATTAATGTATTTATCCTTCTCAATATTGCACCCACTCCCCACAGTATCTATATTTATTATCTAGTTTCACCATAGGTTGCCTGGAAGAAATTGCTGTTAAGCAATAAGGCCGCCATTTGTTTACTCAATGTTTTTAAATAATAAGCTCCTGTAAACATTGTATCATATTAAGTGCAATAAAGTATATTATTATTATTATTATATTTGAGCGGCATCTCGTTATCCGTTAGTATGTCTTTCACTACGCCCAGACACTCCTTAATTGGAACGTTGGTGAAAAGCGACTCCACGTCAAAGCTCACCATTACATCTTCAGTTTCCAAATTTAGTTCCCTTATAATCTGGACGAAATGACGCGAATCTTTTACAAAAGACGGCGTTTTTCCCACGAGTGGCTGCAATGTGTTTTGCAAGTTTATAAGTTGTAGAAGAAATTTAACCTACGATCGGTCGCAGTGGCGCTTTTGTTCAAGGTTTTCACCTATATAGCATTTTGAATGCACCACTGATCTTGTCAGGATTCACTCATCATAATCATTATTAATTTTCATAAGGTTGCATTTATCTCAGAATGTTAACAAAACACGTAAGGTAAGTATTTATATGTAGATACCTATATCATACCTATCCCAAATGTGTAAGTGTCAATAATACGTATTAAAGAAAACTGCAAGTAGGACTTTTCATTTTATCTTATAAGTTTATGCTTGCACCATTTACATAACAACATTTCATTCAGTGAGTGTATTAGAAATTCTTGTAAACACAATGACCGGATATGCTCAACTGCGAGCATTCCTTTTATAAAGTCATCAACAAATGCATGTTAAGAAAATTTTTAATATTTTGAATTCCAAATATCGTTTAAATGAATAAAACGCTATTTATTTTATCTATACAAATATTAAAAAGAGCTAAAGTTTCTAACTATGTTTGTATGTGGAGGTGTAAAAATTAATGGGTGCTACCGCCTGACTCTCTAGACTCTCTAGATTATTATGAAGTAAATGGCTTCATACCCTTACTGATGAAGAAATCGAAGAAGTACTAAATGGTTTATTTTTGAATGACTTCTGTTTCCTCTTGAATACTAGCTTACACACGCACGCACGCACACGCACACACACAAACACGTATTCAAAATATGCGTTCTGCGCAACCCCCACCCAATTTCAAGTTATTTGCAATACTTTAATAGGTGCCCGTCTAGGAACACCTTTTGCTGTTCTTAATCATGCAATTAATTATAAAGTTGGGTAACGTTAGGCGCCGCGTCACGACACTAACACCAGAGAAACAAGAACATACGATTTTTTTGTGTCAATTTAAGGCCAGCGTTTCAACATCCACTTAGCGATCCCCTAACTCTTCTAGCACTAGGATATACGACATCTTAGTAGTTATAGCGCTATTTTGTTACATTTACTACTTTAACATGCACTTTATTAACGACTAGCTTTCCGCCAGCGGCTTCATCCGTTATACATAAAAACCTTCCTTTTTAATCACCCTATCTATGAAAAAAAAAAACCGCTTCAAAATTCGTTGCGTAGTTTTAAAGATTTAACCATATATGGTTTAGAGGGATATAGGGACAGAGAGCGACTTTGTTTTATACTATGTAGTGAAGCACGAACGATAATGAATATAAATTTGATATAAGATAATAAAATGTGTAATTATATGACATTTCATATCGCGCTGAAGTCATGCGTTTTCTACGGGATATCATTTAATATGCATAGACAATAAAAATATTGCAAATGTCTTATCTTAATACGATATTGACATAGTTTGGATGCAAAGAAACGACAAATAGAGGTACGTAAACAATCCAGGCAAAAAAGGTGATCTCGCCAAAAAGCAGTGCATAAAAAAATGCTCTGTCTAGAAGTAATAGTGGTTGCGATGTGTAAGTTAAACCGACCGTTCATATTTATCATCTGAAATTCCTCCTACGATAGACATGTTAAAAGCTTGACTAGGCAAATCTGCACTAGGCCCGCGTGATAAGTTATGAACCGTTCTCCCAATTCGACTATATTCGACCTCTAGAAAATCCCTGTGTCCCAGCTATGGAACCATAAATAGCTGATAATGATGATGCAGATGGAATTTTTATTTTTTATTTTTTTTTGCAAAAAAAGTTGACTTCGAACTATTTTAATTAAAAACTGATTTGAATGTTTTTTCTGCCTATAGCTTAAATGATATGGGCAATACTTACAATGATACAAGGCACCAGTAGCACGGTAGCATAGTGGATAAGCGCCGCGGCCCGGGATCGTTGGTGTTAAGTAATTTTCGCAAGGGTCGGTCAAGGAATGGGTGACCAAAATATTACTATATCTAGCTACTCCGTACTTCGGAAGCCACGTGAAGCCGTTTCTTATGGCTGTATTTGCAATCGTTAATACCCTCTAATCCGCATTAAGCCATCGTTCAGGGTCATGGCCCGTTCTGCTTAACCATCCATAAGGAACGCTTGCGCCCCCACAATGGGGACTTAAAAGAGCTGATGATGATGATAAATGAAATACAATAATAAAATAAAAGGAACAAATTTAATAAATACTATTTATTCAGAGATCCACTCCGCACAATTTATCGAAAAAAAGTATTAAATAGGATGACGTCACTATTTGAAAAACGGTTGCAACCGCATTGAAATTACTATTCACATTACTTAGTCGATACATAGTTAAAATAAAATAAGTTCATAATCACAAAAAATAGAAACATAATTGCATAATATTGGTTTATAAACAAGACACTTACAGTATCGGTTACCATACAAATTTAAAATAAATTCGGCACATCTGCATTTTATTCAGTCTGGAAAAAAAGAAAAACCTGTGAGTTCTCAAAAAATAATTATTATTATTACAAATAAAAAACATAATATAGATACTTCTTTCTTTAATTCTATTTCAACGAATTGTAAAAAGATTTAAGATTTTTTTTTGGAAAAATATCTGCTTACTTAAGTTATGACATATTATCAAGTATTTACTTCACACGACTATACGAGTGTTAGTCAAAGTCCATATAAATGAAGTTTTTCGACCTTTGATTTTCACTTTTTTGTCTACTTTATTTTATTTGGGGTATGATTTGATGTGATGTGATAATATGTATTTTAATTTAGATAAAACGATATATTTTAATGTAAATGTTTAGTTTCAACTAACTCTAAGTCTCTGTTGAGATTAACTAGGCTAGACTAAAAATGTTGGTACGTTTGTATTATGTTTCGGTAAAAATACTTTAATGTACAAAAGCACTTTAGGGAGTGTCATCAGCTTACGGCGGATTTTCTATACTCAGTTAAATTTCAAAAAACTACATTTTATTATCTTTTAATAAAAAAATCATAGTTTTTATTAAAAAAATATTCCTAATAGATTCACTTTTATCAAAATCTACACTTGAACAGATTGTTTACAAGTATAACACCTTTCACAACCTACCTTTATTGGTTTTGATTCTGTATTTCCCTGATCATTGGGGAAAAAGTAACTCTTTTTCTTCTTCACGTATGTAGCATCAAGTCCTCTGCAAAAACAAAGAACAAACTTATTAAATTTTCAGAAACAAACTGAGCGAGATCACTAATAATAACTACAACGATATCATTAAGCACTTGCAATAGATTGCACTACTTAATCAATCACGTAAACAATGGTGGCATATCTCGTTCACAAACTGTGCTAAATTTTGTTTCAATCCTGTCAATTAGCATTTTCAAATATGTAAGTTACAAATCAGTCATTGTAAATTATTATAGTATAGAAAACAGAAGTATATGTTTCTTTGATTACATGTGAGTACAGAATAACGTTAAAGGCAAAATATTTAATTTATTTAGTTTAGAGAATTATTTAAATTAATCCAAATTTACATAAATCCACAGGCATAATTCTGCGAAGCAATTTAAAATAAATACTTTATTTTATATGTTGTAATAATCGGCTCAATTATATAATTCGAAATCATTAGTACATCTCTCTCCAATTATTATGGTTAAAAAAATTATATTAAAACTAATAATCGTATCTTTCACCTTCAGATGACACTACACTACGTTTATTATGAAAACTATATTAAAGATACATCAAATATTTAAAGGGCTTAAAACATAGCCATGTGTATACTAAAAAAATGTCTAAACACATCTTATTTTACATGTTTGTAATAAATTTTACGTCTACCAGTAGTTATACTTCTACTTTACAACTGCTATGCAGAACTATGCACTTACTGTTAGGCGGAGATTTGTGTTTCTTAAATATATGCCAAATGCCAGACAGGTTTTTATAGAACGAATATGTTCTATTGGCCCTACAAATAAGATAAACAAATTCATAACACATTCATTTTATCAAAATATGATACACGTTATCAATAATAATATTATTTGATTTTTAACATTATAGTTATTTATCGGTTTACTGTTTTGTGTTAGAATATTATCAATCAAATTTATTATTTATTATGTTTGGTCTTTTATAGACTTTTAGTAAGATATGTTTACTCTTAATGAAATATGCTTAAAAAACTCACTTTGTCCCTGACACGCTGAGAAGGGAGAAAGAGGATTCTTCATTTAGATTATTTTTCAGTATAGCATTGTGAATATGTTTACATTATTTCAGTAGTTATATTTATCAAATATTAACCTAAACCTTAAATTTGACTAGGTGGCGTTGTGTATTTGCTCTACCAAATCATTTTAAACTAAAGTAATATGAATAAAACTATTACTCGCAAAGAAAATACAGTAAGAGCATAGTCCGCAATAATCAAATAAAACAATTTTTATGGCTATATAATTTTATACATCACCGACTTTTGCACAATTGCTATACACGTTATGTAATTAGTCAACTATAGTAGGAATAGTGTATATCAAATCACATCTACGGAGGTTTTATAAATGACTTGAAAGTCTTTACTCTCGTCAGAATATTCACCTCTCGCATCAAGAAATCGAGGACGTTTGATATCACGTTGTATTTGGCTACGTCCATGCCGTACTGGAAAATGCTACCGGCGCAGTACGAAGAGATCGGAGCGACACACGTGTTGTACAATAGTAACGCGACCATCCATTTATGCGTACGATCCGCCGAATGAACCCTTTTCATTATGCCTCTATTAGGTCTGAGTGAGACAGTGCGAGCGTTCGACTCTACCGCCTGGGATTGTTCGCCTTGCGGATTAAGTTCGTGTGATGTTTCGAATCTAAACAAGTAGCTCATGGCTATAATACACTCTATGTTACTGCAATTTTTTCTTTATTATTTATCTTAAATATATTTTATACAGTTTCAAATTTGTATATGCTTTTAATAAACTAAGGGCGCTTGTGCACTATACTGAATTTTCAGGTCCGGCGGTCCGATTTTTTCCGGTCCGGAATGACATGAAAAACCCGGATGAGTAGCTTGTGCACTTGTCCGTTTTTTTCCTGATCGGAGCAGCGCAGTGTAGGGCAGCTCTCTTTGAAGCTACACGTCACTTACGCTAGGTACGATGAGATTTTTGGAACGTCGGTAATTGAGTTCGAACACGTAAAAAGGTACCTAAATAATGACCTTATAATTACCATAATACATAAACCATAATAAATTGAGGCAAGACGAAAGCATTTTTTTACTACTATCGGATGAATACTATCAGATGTAAAAACTTATACCCTTACTAATTTAGGAAGAGCATTATTCACATAAAATAGCTAAAATATCTGTGACATTAGAATAAAATTACTGATAATGGTATAGTACTTCATGTTTAAATTTATAAACGTGCTAATTTTTTTCTAAGTATTGTAAAAAAAGCTGTAAGCGATTACAGAGATAGACCAATCGGTAGCGTGATTTCGTAAACAAATCGAAATTAGTGCCGTGTAAGCGGAGAATTAATATGCTAAATTAACTTTACGAGATCAGTTGCCTGTATTATATATAGGCATAATTTTTTACACGTGGTGTAGTTTCTTTGAGCAGAAATATTTTTCCCTTATAATACTTATTTTTTTAAATTTATTTATGACACAAACAGTCATTTCAAATTTTATTACAATATAGACTTAAATGCGAAGAAGACATTGAGTGCCACTTAATTACTTTAATTAACCTTCTGTTTATTCATTATTATTACTTCTGTTATCAAATATTTATCTATACTTATCAAATTTTCAAAAAAAATTTTAATAATGACAAATTTTCAGGAAAACTTTCATCCCCTATTTTTCGCGATAAAATGTAGCCTATGTCCTTTCTTAAAGTAAAGTATATTTACTATATTAATTTCCATTAAGATGGATTAAGATCTTACTTTAAGTTATCGATACTTTTAATACGATTCCAAAATCTAGCTAAGTATCTATACTAGAACCATACGCTGATAAATTAGAACTATAGCGACTTTGCCAAAGTATATGCAGTGATATTTACCAACTATATAGTAGGGGAGCCCACGATGCTAAATCGGGATTTACTCGAGCGTCATAGAGACCTATTGGGTTGCGAAGCTTAGATGATAACAAAAAAAAAATTTCATATAATATATACCTTTTCATCGGTGGGGGAAGCGGCTATAGATTTTTAAAAATGTAAAAAAAAACTGTTGTATGGACATACTCGAGCGCGTCAGATATTAATATCATCCATGTCCTACGCATTTTTAAAAACTGTCGTATGTTAATCTGATCGTTTCCATGATGGGGGTGGTTATACGTAAGGGTTAATGAAAAAAAAAATTATTTAATCGAGCGCATCAGATTTTTTGAGGGGATGTCAAGTGAACCTAAAAAAAAGCTCTCATATAATAATCTGACGATTTGGATGTGACACAAACGCGTGACCATTATTAGAATGTGCAAAAAAAAAATCGCCATTTTGAAATACTCAAGCGCGTCAGATTAAGATATATATGGTTCATCTTTATGCCCCAGACGTGATATCTCATAATCTGACGATTATCTGAAGGGATTTACTTAAACTGACACAAAAAAAAAAAAATTATTTTTTCAAATCATTGAGCTTTATTAAATAGAAAAGCACCGGAGTTAGCATGCAAATAAAAAAGTGTATGTATTTTATGTAAAATACTTATATTTATAAGAAAATGATTATATGAAAATTAAATTATTACAGTATTTTTTATTAATTATCATCTTCATCGATAGAATCATCTTCCTCTTCTTCTCTTAAAATAACAAAATAAGCAAAAACGTTGGAAATACGATGTAAACAATATCACGCCACGAACGAGTCTGTGTCATCAGCTGTCATGGCGTCATGGCAACCGAAACCAGAGTGGGAGACCAGAGAATGAGAGGGTAACAGACAGAAAAAGAGAGAGAAATAGTGATGCGGAGAAGGAAATATAGGTATCACGTAGCTTAAACGCATTAAATCTTATCGATGAATTTTTATTACTTCGGCTTGTGACAATCGTCAGATTATATATTTTTCGTAATGCTTGAATGATTCCCTTCAAAATAAAAAAAAATTAGGCACGCTCGAGAATGTCAAAGTGACGTTTTTTTTTACAACTTTGTAGCCTTCCCCCTTCTTTACGTCACTCTCAAATTGTCAGATTAGAGGTATGTACACCTTTTAGCATGTAACTAGCTCACCTTACCTTAATCTGACGCGCTCGAGATTTTCAGATGATCAATTTTTTTTTACTAATCTGATCCTTCGTCCTTGCCGGGCGGCCATTTTTATAGGACTCATACTTGGTCCAGGTACTTAACTGGGTACAAGGTATCCCCCTGTATATTAATCTGCCGCGCTTTAGTAAATCCCGAAATCCCCGCTTCGGCTCCCCTACTAATATTAAATCATCATATAAAATATAGCATTTTATAATCTACAATAAACATCGATTATACGTTTATTGGAAATTATTGTTAATCGCCGAAATAAATATCGATTTTACACAAATCGATTATTTTTTCCCAAGCCTATTGCTTATGAATTTTACGAATCGCGGACACAGCAGTGCACAAGCGTAAACACGCTTTTCATTGCTGCCATCACGGATCTGAAAAAAACCTGTCCGGAATAGAGAAAAGTAAAATCCCGGACGGTAAAATTCCTGACAGTGCACAGGCTAGCATTACCAATATATAGCCTGACATATCGGACCGGAAAAAATCGGACCACCGGACCTGAAATTCAGTGTAGTGCACAAGCTCCCTAACAGTTTTGTTGTAACCATAACATACATTTCATTCAGAAAAAATACTACTGGTTTTAATCCAAAGTCACCTATATACACTCGAATCTAATAATACACTTAATTTCACGCGTTGAGTAATTCGAATGTCATACTGCCAAATTAGATATAATTGGGTACTGTTTAAGCTAATCAGATTATTTCCCTAACTTGTAGGTATTCATCCAATTTAGTTTACTAGTTACGCAGGAGACAATAATAAGTTGTTTCAGGGACCCGATCGTATATAATTATGTCCGGCTTAACTTATTATGGACTAACTGAATTAGCTCGAAACTCACCGTTTGTCAAAGTATGACGGAGGCGTGGTATCTAACGACGACTCCGCACTCGACGGCTGCAATAAAGAAAAAAAGGATATTTTTTTAAAATAGCAAACAAATAATTTTTATTTTGTTATTTATAAAAAAGTAATTATTTACTTACGGCACCATAATTAATGAAAGGTTTATTGATTAAATACATACTTGCATTTGATGACAATTTCAATGTATAAAAAATGTTTAATATTTTTTTTTTATTATTTTTAAATTGGCATGTTTGTCAAGTACCTATAAGCAACAAGCTACTTCCTTATAAATTACATTTTTATTAACACTTCAATTTGCCGTTGAAAACCTCTAAAAACGCGTTTGAGTAAATATTTGTCAAACTGACAAGTGACAAAGAGTTGTAAATGGCGCTGACGAAAAACGTGAACCGGTGTTAATTAATATCTATTAATATCTAATTTTGCAAATAAAAAAATAATCATACTTTAGTCAAACAAAATGCGTTAGGTTAGATTAGGTTTAGATTTTTACACCGATAACGCTGATGAAAAACTCGGCGGGGTCGACGTGGCTTTAATTACCACGCCGATCGGCACACATGTCTAATCTGTACTAGTATATTATTATAACATTTATGATATGTACTCACCCGGTTCTCCTTGTCTTGTTCGCTATGGGGACGTCTGTTGCGACAAAGTGCGTGCTGGCAGCGGCACGATTCACCACACGAGGAGCCAGACTTCACGCAGCCGCACATTTTAGTGGAACAACTGCCTCGGCACATACAGTGAGGGGAACCTTCACTGTTCCTCTTCACCGCCGGCCCGTTGGTCGTATCCGCATCCGTATTTGTAAAGTTCATCGTCAAACGGGATCGCTGCGCCTGCATTGTACCGTATATGTAACGTTAGTTTCTACTAAGATTTACTTTTTAGTAGGAAGTAACGTTCAAACAAACCTAAAATTACTAAGAACTCTTCAAAATACATGATTTGATACTTGTATAGTGAAGACATTAAACTATATTTCGGTACTAGACAGGCGTTGAGGAAGCGAAGAGCTACTTTGTTAAATAAATATAAACGTATTTTTCTCAACATTTTTGTATAATGTAATAAATACAATATAAAGCCCTGTGTTGTTTAGTTATCGTACAAATACTGATAACTTATGGAAATGCATTTCTAGTAACTGTTGTTGATACTCAAAGCTAGAGGGTGTTGGAGAAGTACAGGAAAAATAAATTCATATGGAAATTGTCAAAGGACACTCGATGAACCTATTTAAATCTCTTTGATATGTAGTGAATTTATTGTTTTAAGATTTTGTCCCAATACAATCCTTATTACAAAAAATACGGTAAAAGCGGCGAAACAAATAAGATTATAGGCTAAAGCCGAATAAGTAGCCAGATCTTACAAGTTTCCTGTACTTAAGATTTTTTTTTAATATTTTCATATTAAATACATTTTTAATGCAATTTTAGACAGTATTGAAAACCCTAGATTAAGGTTACCACCCATCAAAATTTAAAGTAAGGAATACTTTTTATTAAGCACCTGAATACGTTTGAACAGAGGCGTGGCTCTCCAGTCAGGATCCTTATCTGTGTCTTCAACGTCGTCATCGTCTTCGTCAGAAGGCTCTGCGTACACCACCTTCTTTTCAGAATCATTAGTTTCTTTCTTTGAACGTTTCTTGTTCACAGTCTTACTTTTGGCAGAACGCAGCTGTTCCAACTCGTCCATTAGCTTTTTCTGTGAATTTTATTACATTTTATATAGGTACCTATACTACATTAAGGGTTTATACGATATATCTTATTATGACGCCATGGCAGCTACTCCATGTCTATTTGTAACTAGGTTATGTAATGTTTTTTACTGAGTGCTGAATTAATCTATTTTAATATAATTTAAGAGAAAATAACAAGAAAGAAGATATAAAATGATATGCTTTAGGGTATACGGTCTTGCACACCGATAAATGCTTACAACGGCCCTATTAAGAGGGTTAGGTAGGTTATGCACGTTAGGTAGCTGGCGACGATGCCGGAGTCGCTGCCATGGCGTCCTATTGAGTTACAGCTTTAAAAAAATCTATTAGATTTTGTAATTAATACCATTTATATCATATTTGCTTGTTTTTTTTACTGCACTGATAGAAACAAAAAAAAATATAACTATTATTTAAATCTCTAACTCAATAGATGACTATGTTACCCTACATCATATGTTTTAGCAGTATTATTTATTTCAATTTTACAATTACTTTTCAATGTTATTTCATATTCTTATGTACACACATTTAATAAAATGGTTTGGACATTTTTTATAGACTCTTTGAGCCCTAATGTTATTAAAAATCTTATTTCAAAAACAGGATTGAAACTACGATCGCATTTCATTTTTGGGACCATATTTAAACTTTTTCGAATTTGATCAAATAGAATAAACATATTTAGACTTCTTTACGAGAATATATTAAAAATCCTGTTCCTCCATTTTGTAGAAATCGATATAATCAAATTCTAATGCATCTATTAGAGCATCAACTGTACAATTAACTATAAAAAAATTGCGTCCGTCCAACTATTAGAAAGGTGACCAACAATAACTATCCTGAGTACCTATTACATAATTTACTTTATTAAAATTGGTAGCATTACTACGAAAACTATTTAAATAAGTTCTTTTTCACCAATTCAGGATAAAAAAACTCATATTAAGAGTTATTAACAGCCATTACTCCTCACTGGATCAGTATGGTAATGGTAGGTTGTTTATTATTTTCAAATTAACGTAAGAGAATTTCATCTATCTACATCTATTCTACCACACAAACGAAATGTACGGCTGCAGTGATGTTTAATGCGTTCGTCATAAGGTTTACAATGTGTCAACATACATTCTCGTCTTCGATCTGGTCGAGTCGTTCCTGTTGGTATTGTATAACGTTCTGGAGATGTTTGCACGCCTCACTTTTATCGCCTCGGCCAACTACACCGCGCTGAAGTGCCACTAGTGCTGATACCTAAATAACAATACATTAAAAATTATACAAAAAATATTTACTGTGACTATATTATGTTATGTTGTGTTATAATATTTTCATTTGTCATAAAACATTTGGAATCAAGACATTTGAAGAAGAGATAGAAAACTAAAATATAAAATAAAAGATTTTTGATCCATAAACAACAATAATATTGTTCAGTAATAGTTTAAGCGTTTTACTATGAAATCATTCTCAATGTTAAGTGCCAAGATTTCTTAATAAGCTTATGTTCAATTATGAGTTCACAAAATACATTAGCTTAATGTAGGTGCATCGACAGTCGTGCTATTAAAAAAATCTTATCCCTTACTACCTAAACATACTAGGCATTAAAAAACAACCAACCTTCTGTTCACACTGTAATTTGACCAAACTCAACTGTCTCTCAAACTCCGCTTTGCTGTTTTCAAACTCCATCACCAAACGATCATGTGCTTCCTTTATCTCTTCATATCTGGCCTGGAATCCTTTCTCGCTTTGATTTTGAAGTTCACGTTTAGAATCTACTATTAATTCAAACAAGCACTTCAATGCTACTTTCGCTTCCATTAACGATTGTATATTGTCCCACTGCGTACGGGATTTGTTTTCTGTTGGATTAAAAGATTGTATAATAAATAAATTGTAATCTAAAAACCAACTTGAACAAAGCTAAATAATATATTGGCATGTTATAAATGATATTGAAATATGAACCTTATTTTCCTACCGTTATGGCTATTGACAAAAAAGGGGCAATGAATTTTTATTACAACTATTTTTTTTAATAATAAATGGTATAAAATATTTATTCCATACCCTGATCGGCTATTAAAATTTTCTGTTGCAAGTCTGAAATCTGCGCCTTACGTAGCGCAAGATCGTCCTCAAGTTCAGCTAATTTTTTCCTGCTGGCCTCATCCTCTGTGTTGTTGTGTAGATTCTCTATCTGTGCGATGATCCATGCCCTGAATAATTACAAGGTAAATAACATCAAAAATTTAAATAGTCCCAAAATAGATTAGTAAGCAATGATAATGTTAAATTTCAAAATACCAGTCATGCAAGAGTAGTACATCATAAATTAAAATTCTCATCCCGCAAAAACACGCTGCATAATTATATTATACGTGTTACTAAAAACTTTAGCTGTATTTAATTTATTTATAGATCTGAAAACTTAATTTCTGTTCTAACTCTCAATATGCCACTCGACTATATTCACATAGTCTTCAATATACTAATTACGAATGAAGACTACTCAGATGAATTAACATGACACCTTGCTAAAATAACGTTTGTTATAGCACAAAGTGAAAAAAAATGGCCATTGCGAACTTAAAACGGAAAAGCTAATATAAGATAATAAACATTATTTCAGTAGGACATCAAGAAGATGTGGTCCTACTGGATGGATACTGGATGATGGAGTAAGCTGGCTAGGGAGACTAAAGATAATTTTCTCCCTCTGAGCTAGGTGTTATTAACTCGGGGACCACGCAGTAAATTTTATCTTAAAACTGAACAATGAACAAAAAACTACAAACAACAAGGTTATAATCTCAAAGATACGTGACAGTTTTTCAGTAACGAAACTGAACTTGAATGACTACAGGCAGGGCGTCGTGCAATGACTAAAACTCTTTTACCACTCTAGTAAAAAGCAAATTTTAACAGAATATAAAAATGTATTCACCTATATTCCATTAGCTCTTCTAATGATTTCTCAGCTTCCACAATACTGAGATGTACTTCCAATTCTTGCTCGATGTACTGTTGTATGGCGCCAGCCTTCACGCTGCCTTTAGCGTTGCGTTTCATCGCTGTATTCTTCTGACGCTCCAGAGCTTCCTGTTTATATAAAAAACAAACGTAATCAACCGCATTGTTCATTACTGAAAAGGCTGAATAAACATTTTTATCCTGGCCAATCTGCTAAAACTGAAACTAAAATGCAGTCATTTTATTAAGTCACTCATTCATTCATTCACGCTTCGAATATATAAAGAAAAGATTCCCTAGTACATCGTACCATTATCACGTAAATAGTCCATTCACAATAAACCCTTTTATCTTTCTTCTCATTCCATGTTCACATCGTTTCTATAACTTTTTGCTTGACCGCTTTGTTTAACCCTTTACTGAAGTTTAAATTAACAATTTATTACAACAAACTTTATGCAGAAAACAAAATATATTAAAAAAAAAATCTTCAAAAAGATCAAATTATATGAAAAAATATCAAGTTTCTATGAAAGTCAGAGGGAAAATTTTAATAACCTACTGAATTTCTCCTGCTTGAGATCTTTGATTAATTTTCTTAATAGGTACTGTCAACACTGCTGCATGTTAGGTTCCCAAAATCATATTTCTTCGTTTGATATAGCACTTTGGAGGTAGCATTTAAAATCAATTGTAAAAAAAATTACAGATTGTATAGTCCGAAATGTATACACCCATAAATGTCCCAAAGTTTTATATTATTTTCTCTATCTAGAACACAGAGCCTTTGTTGAGAAACGGTCCATGATAATCTAGGTCTTTTAATAATTTTTTTAAGTACACAATATCATATAGTTGATAAACTTTCTTCTTACCTTGAGTCTCTTATTGACAGCAACGGCCTCCTCCATCTTACGCTTGAGCACGGTCTGTTGTTTTGCGTGTAATGATTCCATCCGCGCCATAGCGGTCGCTCGCTTGCGATCTTCGTTCCGTAGACGGACTAGCGCACGTTCATTATCGGCCTTCCATTTGCGGAACTTCTCACTCTCTTCGCGCATTTGCTTTATAATTTTCACCTAGAGCAAAAGGGTATTTAAAGCATGTTTAATGTATAGTACAAGTTTTCAGGTGCTTTAATGGTATACAGAGAGAAACTGTAAATTTAAGACGGAAATCTCTGATGCCTTAAAATTTGATAGCAAGAACTTCCTCTCTTTTGATCCCTTTCAAAATACTATTTTTGTCAATAATCTGGCTATTGATGTAATAATTCTTTTTCATGAATTTCGCCATCTAAGAAGAAAAAAGCAACTGCCTCGAATACCCGAGATTTAAACAAAGTGTTACCAACCTTAACAAAACTGTTATATTCAAGGTACTTGTTTTTATTACTTCTAGCAACATCCATAAATGTTTAAGTTTTTAGATGGTATTATGAATTAGTATTTTTTATGACATAAGAGGTTATACTACCTTAGTGACTTTCATGGCTTGCAGTTCAGCATTGAGTGCGGCTATCTTGGCTTCATTCTTTTCCTTCATCTTGATAATGTTGGCTTGCTGCTGGCACTTCTTCTTTAAGTCTGATATTTGCGCTTCCAACGTCGACACTTTGGTACGCCGCTCCTCGTTACTTGGATCCTTAGACTGCAAACATATTAAATATTATAAACCATTTCTTTTGCTTTCTAATCACTATACATAGCAACAGACAGTACCGGGCCCTGAGTATAGTTTTCGTGAATCGAAAGCTCACCATTAAACACATTGAAAATTGAAGATTATTGATGACTAACGCTAGAATCGCTATTTTAAACTCTTACATATACCTATGATTGCTCAAGTTAAAGTGAACATTCATATTCTGATCATGTTTATATTTTCCGTAATCAAAATAGCCTATATCACTCTAAAGTGCTCCACTTATCTCCATACATAATAATAGCCAGTGATTCAACACCTCCTTGGAGAAGAAAGGTTTTTGAATATCATGTTTTACTTAGTAAGATTGAGGATGGCATCCTTTCACTAGTTTAAATCATCAATCAATACAAAGGCCATTGCACACTGAACACACTAAAGCATTATCAGTTAACGCATCAAGAAGACAGGAATACATACATATTCAGGAGACCGTTTTAGCTTTTTAAGAAACTCCGAACTGCATTTACAGAATTAAATACAAAACTACAGTCAGCATAACATGATGTTTTAATGCCAATAAAATTTCTATGACTATAGTTTCAATTTCATGTGAGGGTAAAAGACAGTATAGGACATTAATCCTATATAATAAGTGATTATTACTAGAAATCACATAAATCGACATAAACTTTTCAAAAAAAAATTTAATAATGAGGAAGTATTTAAAAAGAATATTAGTTCCCGAAATCAAACTAGATGTCGCTACGGTTCTCTCTTGATTTCTCCGTGAGAACCCTTTCGGTTTTCTTTCATGTAAAAATATTAATTATTTTTTAAAACTCAATAAACAACACTTATTCTATTTGTACTTTTTCGTATTTGTATTAATATCTAAGTTTTGGACGTTGCAAATTTTTTTTTTTAATACTTCCTCATTGACATCAGATAGTTAACCATAATTTTAATCTCACCTTAGTCTGCTTGAGTTGTTGCATCAATTCGTCTTTTTCTTTCTCGAGCTGCGCTATCTTTTCCTCATTCTCTCGCAAGTTGTTGTGACTATCGATCATATCCTTGTTATTGGCGAGTATTGCTTGAACTACAGAAGCCTTGATGGCCATGGCACGATTCAACTCTTGCAATTCTTGGTTCAAAGCAACCTAGATGACATTACAATAATTGGACGTCACAATTTACTTTGCCCAGATCCTAAATAAGACAGTAAGAGTTCTTATGCTAAGTATAAAAATGACAGCGCGTGACCATGAGCATCTGCTAACTATGCGATAGAAGATCAATCTAAACATGTTATTTTCTACATACCCACTCTATTATTCGCCACTACGACTACGCGGAACGCTGCGACCCAAAGGCAAGATATTGTACCGCATAAGTCGCGCTTTGGCTTACGATACAAGTCCTACAATCCAATATCTACATAAAGGTTTACTCTCGAAGTGAATCGCGATCAATCGACGTTGTAATTATAGCGTTTAATACATTGGTTATTTAATGAACAAATGAATGATATTGAATTTGTGCTATAATCTGTATCCGTTTTCTTACAACATTAGAACTATTCAATATGTTAAATGTTTCGAATTAAATAAATTTTAGTCACTCATTCAACAGCCAATCCAAAAAGTAGCTTAACGTCTGCAAACCGAACCCGCTAATCATTGCACTATAGAACTACACATAGAAAATGGCAGACTGAAAATTATGTGGTATTGTATTTGAAGCAATGGAAAATGGACATTTCATTTGATTTGTATCAAATGTTTTTCAAACATGGTTTTAATGTCATCTCGCCAGACTATATCTCAACAGTCAGATTTTATTAGGCCCATACATACCTGTCCCATAGCTCTTTTCTCTTCTTCCAATACTGCCTGATCTTCATTAAGCAAAGCCTCTTCATCAACTTTATCTGTTTCACTATCCTCCTTCACAAACGATAGTTTAATTTCATGATCTATGAGCTCCTCATTAGTTTTCAGATTCATTGATTGCAAGTCTTCCAATCTGGTCTTGATATCTTTCAAATAGTCTACAACATTAGTCTTGTTACCCTCATTATCTGTGCTTTTGTCTGTAGTATTCAAATTCTCTATAGTCTGATTACACTGTTCTGTCAATTCATTTAGCTTCCTTTCGATTTTGTCCTTTGCTGCCTCTGCTAAAAGTGCCTTTTCGCACAAATTTGTATTTTCAATTAGCATGTTACTCAAATGTTCTGTGACTTGTTTGTGCTTCTTTAGCAGTTCTTGATACCTCGCTTTCTCTCTTTCCAACTCTTCTTGTAGTTGTTCATTATTCTGTTCACTGACTGTCGGCGCTTTGCCGAGCAGCTGTACTCTCAATTCATTCACCAAATTGTTTAGCCTGTAATTTAATTGTACATGTCAAGTAAAAAATAGAACATACATATTTTAAATATTACATCAAAAATACTTGGAACTAAATAAAATACAGATAAGGTCAGAAGAATAAAAAATAAACTATATTTCACTCATTATTTATCTTTATTTATTAGTATAGATACAAAATATTTGTATGGATTAAACAATAAAATTGGATTGTCTGTTTATAACATTAAATTAACAGTTTTTTACTAAATGCATACTGTATTGTTTGTTATCTGGCTGTCAGTTCGTTCTAGCAAATCTCTGAAACGTCTGGACCGATTTTGACGGGACTTTCACTGACAGAGAGCTTATGTAATAAAGGGTAACTTAGGCTACTCTTAACGCAGACGAAGTCGCAGGCACAGCTATAAATATACTAAAGAAGCAAAAATTAGATATACCATAAGGGCGTGTTTATACAAACTTAAATTATTTCGCGTCGACATGATGCCAACCGATCCCACTTTAAGGAACGTAGTATATTAAAAAAATAGAATAATTGAAGTATATTAATCTAAACATGTATTAATATTAAGAACGCTTTTGAGACAGAAAAAAATGTAGAATAGATGAATATATAACCTGACTATCTCAGCAGCTTTAGCATCTTGATTGATGATGGGTTTATTGCGGATGCGTCTCGCTCGATCCGCGTATCTCAGCGTAGACACTGTCTCGTCCAAATTATAGTCGGCCGGACTTACACAAGCAACCATCAACGTTAAAGAATTACCACCTAAGCTGTCTGCAAACCCAAAAATTATTTGTTAAGGTACCTATATGATAAGTTTTACTCTTGGTCTACATACACATATACTCACCTATAATCTATTCCTAGAGCAGGCGAGAACACGAACAATGATGAAAGTTTTATGTGATCATTGCATGTAAACTATACATAACTCTATATCGTTTCCACAGTGTACTGCTCGTTGTAGAGTAGCCAGGATAGTGTTCCATACAACAAAACTTAGTGCTATATTGTTCGTTTTTTCGCCTGCCCTAGTATACTAGCATAGACTATAATTTATATATTATATTACAGTCTGCACAGACTATAATAAGAGATGTGCTACACCTATTTTACTAATATTTTAGTACATCCACATATGTTCAACAACATACACAGTAATATAGATATTAACAGATACCAGATAATACTCAAATAGCATAGGTAGAAGGACATAGTACTCATCTTCTTCTTTATATAATAAATAATCAAAGAAAAAACTTAGAGAATAATCTAAGAAATGTATATCAAAAGTATTAGTGGGAAGGCAACCTTTAATTAAAATAAAAAGTTTTTATACCAATGACAACAACGATATTACCTTGCAACAGCCTGGTGAGTTTGCTGTCTCTGTATCCGATAAAACTTCTATTAGTACCGTCACCAAGAGCAGATATTACGTTGCCGAGAGCGAGCAGACCTTGATTGATCTTTACGCCCTCTTTGAGTCTCTCGCCACTGGCTTTAGTCTTCTTAATGCGTTCTGAGCCAGCTAAGTCAACCAGGTGAAATTTGGAAGTAGTTGCTATATTCCTAAAATAATAACATTCGTCGTCAACCGCATGGGTAGATCATCATATTTTTGATAATGGAAATCATCTTCATTTTGGCACCTCCCTCACAGCAATAAGTCCAAATTATAGGCAAACTAACTTAGTTCATATTCGACAAAATTAAGTCTATCTTTTTTCTTAGTTTTTTTTTTTTTTTTTGTTGACAGTAGTTTTAGTTGCTTGATATGATATATTCTTTCGATTGTCAAAGATACACACAAAAGTATTATGTTATATATATTTTATAATATTGTGATCTTCACATCTCTATATGAAATAATATATTATAGAAATGGGGAAAAAAGCAGCCGTTGCTCAGTTTCTTGCCGGTACTTGTCGGTACAAGGACTTCGACTTTCACAAGAGACAGGGATTGTAACAGCCTAGACCGAAAGGATGATTCCAATTTGATTTGAAAAAATATGTATGCAAATCAAATCTTTCATAGCAATTAGCTCAAGAATAGCCAAACCATGATATAACACTATTCTTAAGGGCAGCAGCATCATAAATTCATCATCATCATAAACTCACAAATTTAAAAATCGAAACGGAAATGGTGTTGTATTGTATTGCAACCACGACTGAAACTAGTTTCATACAATATTATAACGGATATACCCAGTTTTATAATGGCAATAATATGGTTACATTTCAACATTAATTTAGTCTTACTTATTGATTTTGCTCTCTTTTGTAATAACTATAGTAAAGACAGCATGACTCCTGCTGGAGGCCTGGTTCATGGCAGTGGATCCTGTGACGCGACCAGACGAGCCTTGCTCTAGTACCATCATTGTCTCATTAGTCGACGCCACTGGATGTTCTGTGATTCCTATAACAAAAAAATCGCATTATCTGAAGCAGCATGGCCGAAACGTGAAACAAAAAAATATCAATAAAAATGTTCCAGCAAAACTCTTATTTTTATGTCGTCCTAAACTCCTTCCTTTTGTACCATTTACATCGTTAATTAAAAAAAAAGCTAATTAAAAAAAATCAATTTTCTAATCCAATATGAAATAGAGCTTCAATTGTTGTCAACAACTAAACTAACCTGGCAAAATTACACCTCTATTTATATCCTCTCGGATTTCAATAATGCTATGAGCTCTTTCCTTTCCCGAAAGCAGGTCATAGCATTGCTCCTGATACAACTCCATGAAGGAGACTGTCACCTTGAACATGAATTCAGCCTCATGTGCTTCTATGAAATCAAATATGTCTGCAACTGCTTGAGGGATAACACCTGATGGTAAAGAAAAAAGACACTTATATAAATGACATTATAAAGATTGTAGCAGAGTTCTACAATATACAATCTTTTGCTTTTTAGTTTTTGATATATATCTAAATATTTTTTTCTATAAAATGTATTATCTACTTTCTATAGCCATTGGTAAATGACACCAGTTGTATTTTGAAAAAAGGTAAATAAAGACCATTTCATAAAAAATATAAAATATGGACATAATGAAAGGTATTTAATTGTTATTTTATGAACAAAAATAGGTATTTTGAGTTTTAAAAAATCACCCAACCTAAATGACGTTTATCTATTTGTAAACATTCTTGCAATCTTGTATTCATTAATTTTATCGAAAACACGCTTACAAATTTCAACATGTGTAGCAGCACAAATAGCGAGATATCATATGAGCGCATGTGATATGAAGTCTCACTCTGAGCCTGAGAAAACTGATATTTGGTGTAGATATAACGTTCTCAAGTTTTGTCATGATATTCGTGCAGAACTTTGCAAGTGCGCAAGAAAAGAAGGACGTCATTTAAGAGGAGTTATTCATAAAAGCTAAAATCGCTATGATTATTGTATAATTAATAAATACCTTCAATTACATTGATTTTTCATTTATGCTATTCTTTGAAATGTAAAACCTGCCGGCCAACACACTTTTTTATTTAATATAAATATCAGATACTTTTTGACCCCTGGGTTCTAGTGAATAAATGTGCCTTTACCTCAACCCTCCCTTTTTTCAAAATCACCTTACTAAATGGCTTGGTGCCATTTTACTATAGGTAATTGATAAAAAGTTTAAAAAGTATATGTATTAAATTTTATAAAGTATATTTTAACTTTGAATATGAAGCTGAAACTAGCAGCTACGCGGTGATCAAGGCCAGGGACGACACGCGGAGTGGGGCCCGCGCCCCCGATAAAATTATAAAGTATGAATAACTACTTACAAAGTGGATAATAAAGAGAAGATGAGCATAAAAAATTATAAACAAAAGAGACCCATTCATCTCCAAATTTATGCAACAAATTTTATTCAAAGACATGGTTTTGAGATGTAAGAAGTCGTAACTTTGTTCCTTACCATCAGATATTAATAAAATTTGATTCAGGACTATGTTATGATGCAATTATAGTGTTGAAAAAGTTACAAAAGGGATACTCCATCCCTTCCATTTTTTTTACTAATTTTCATTAATTAAAAGCCACTTTTGACCATGAAAAGTCATAACTTTGTTCCTTACCATCAGATATTAATAAAATTTAATTCAGAACTATGTTATGATGCAATTATAGTGTTGACAAAGTTACAAAAGGGATACTCGATTCCTTCCATATTTTCTAATAATTTTCATTAATTAAAAGCCACTTTTGACCATGAAAAAAGTCAAAACTTTGTTCCTTACCATCAGATATTAATAAAATTTAATTCAGAACTATGTTATGATGCAATTATAGTGTTGACAAAGTTACAAAAGGGATACTCGATTCCTTCCATTTTTTCTGATAATTTTTATTAATTAAAAGCCACTTTTGACCATGAAAAAAGTCATAACTTTGTTCCTTATCATCAGATATTAATAAAATTCAATTCAGAACTATGTTATGATGCAATTATAGTGTTGACAAAGTTACAAAAGGGATACTCGATCACTTCCATTTTTCCTAATAATTTTTATTGATTAAAAGCCACTTTTGACCATGAAAAAAGTCATAACTTTGTTCCTTATCATCAGATATTAATAAAATTCAATTCAGAACTATGTTATGATGCAATTATAGTGTTGACAAAGTTACAAAAGGGATACTCGATTCCTTCCATTTTTTCTAATAATTTTCATTAATTAAAAGCCACTTTTGACCATGAAAAAAGTCATAACTTTGTTCCTTACCATCAGATATTAATAAAATTCAATTCAGAACTATGTTATGATGCAATTATAGTGTTGACAAAGTTACAAAAGGGATACTCGATTCCTTCCATTTTCTCTGATAATTTTTATTAATTAAAAGCCACTTTTGACCATGAAAAAGTCATAACTTTGTTCCTTATCATCAGATATTAATAAAATTCAATTCAGAACTATGTTATGATGCAATTATAGTGTTGACAAAGTTACAAAAGGGATACTCGATTCCTTCCATTTTTTCTAATAATTTTCATTAATTAAAAGCCACTTTTGACCATGAAAAAAGTCAAAACTTTGTTCCTTACCATCAGATATTAATAAAATTTAATTCAGAACTATGTTATGATGCAATTATAGTGTTGACAAAGTTACAAAAGGGATACTCGATTCCTTCCATTTTTTCTGATAATTTTTATTAATTAAAAGCCACTTTTGACCATGAAAAAAGTCATAACTTTGTTCCTTACCATCAGATATTAATAAAATTCAATTCAGAACTATGTTATGATGCAATTATAGTGTTGACAAAGTTACAAAAGGGATACTCGATTCCTTCCATTTTCTCTGATAATTTTTATTAATTAAAAGCCACTTTTGACCATGAAAAAAGTCATAACTTTGTTCCTTATCATCAGATATTAATAAAATTCAATTCAGAACTATGTTATGATGCAATTATAGTGTTGACAAAGTTACAAAAGGGATACTCGATTCCTTCCATTTTTTCTGATAATTTTTATTAATTAAAAGCCACTTTTGACCATGAAAAAAGTCATAACTTTGTTCCTTACCATCAGATATTAATAAAATTTAATCCAGAACTATGTTATGATGCAATTATAGTGTTGACAAAGTTACAAAAGGGATACTCGATTCCTTCCATTTTCTCTGATAATTTTTATTAATTAAAAGCCACTTTTGACCATGAAAAAGTCATAACTTTGTTCCTTACCATCAGATATTAATAAAATTCAATTCAGAACTATGTTATGATGCAATTATAGTGTTGACAAAGTTACAAAAGGGATACTCGATTCCTTCCATTTTTTCTAATAATTTTCATTAATTAAAAGCCACTTTTGACCATGAAAAAAGTCATAACTTTGTTCCTTATCATCAGATATTAATAAAATTTAATTCAGAACTATGTTATGATGCAATCATAGCGATGACAAAGTTACAAAAGGGATACTCGATTCCTTCCATTTTTTCTGATAATTTTTATTAATTAAAAGCCACTTTTGACCATGAAAAAAGTCATAACTTTGTTCCTTACCATCAGATATCAATAAAATTCAATTCAGAACTATGTTATGATGCAATACGAGTGATGACAAAGTTACAAAAGGGATACTCGATCACTTCCATTTTTTCTAATACTTTTTATTAATTAAAAGCCACTTTTGACCATGAAAAAAGTCATAACTTTGTTCCTTACCGTCAGATATCAATAAAATTCAATTCAGAACTATGTTATGATGCAATACGAGTGATGACAAAGTTACAAAAGGGATACTCGATCACTTCCATTTTTTCTAATACTTTTTATTAATTAAAAGCAACTTTTGACCACGAAAAAAGTCATAACTTTGTTCCTTACCATCAGATATTAATAAAATTTGATTCAGAACTATGTTATGATGCAATACGAGTGATGACAAAGTTACGAAAGGGATACTCGATCACTTCCATTTTTTCTAATAATTTTTATTAATTAATAGCAACTTTTGACCATGAAAAAAGTCATAACTTTGTTCCTTACCATCAGATATTAATAAAATTTGATTCAGAACTATGTTATGATGCAAGAAGGAAGGGAGAAAGTTGGCACGAAGGAAACTCGTTTTTTTTTGGTTTTTACTGCGATTTTTATTAACTACTCAATAGTTCTTATGATTTTTTGGGTTGTAACCCCGTCGGTATAAGCTAGAAATCCATAAAATTTAGATAACAAAACCTTTTTTTCTTCATTCATCAATCTTATAATATTTCGCTGCTGAAGTCATATTTGTATTTTTGTTTTACGAAAAAATATTTTTTTTTATCCGGGTTTTATCTATTTTTCTTTTTCTTAAGTATTTTTTATCCTTATTCTTTGTACTATTATATATTTATGTTATTTTAATTAAGTTTGTAATTAATAATTAATCTGTTGGCTAGAAATAAAGATATAATTTTTCACATCTCAAAAAGTCAATCTTTATTGATAAAAATGGTTGGAAATTAAAGAAGAAGCAGAGTATCCCTCTTGCCCTCGACACTACTTTTTCCTTACATCATAATGAAGTTACAGACCAAGTTTTATTAGAATCTGTTGGCTAGAAATAAAGATATAATTTTTCACATTTCAAAAAGTCAATCTTTATTGATAAAAATTGCTGGAAATTAAAGAAGAGGCAGAGTATCCCTCTTGCCCTCGACACTACTATTCCTTACATCATAATGAAGTAACAGACCAAGTTTTATTAGAATCTGTTGGCTAGAAATAAAGATATGATTTTTCACATCTCAAAAAGTCAATCTTTATTGATAAAAATTGCTGGAAATTAAAGAAGGAGCAGAGTATCCCTCTTGCCCTCGACACTACTTTTTCCTTACATCATAATGAAGTAACAGACCAAGTTTTATTAGAATCTGTTGGCTAGAAATAAAGATATGATTTTTTACATCTCAAAAAGTCAATCTTTATTAATAAAAATTGCTGGAATAAAAAGAAGGAGCAGAGTATCCCTCTTGCCCTCGACACTACTATTCCCTTACATCATAATGAAGTAACAGACCAAGTTTTATCAGAATCTGTTGGCTAGAAATAAAGATATAATTTTTCACATCTCAAAAAGTCAATCTTTATTGATAAAAAATTGCTGGAAATTAAAGAAGGAGCAGAGTATCCCTCTTGCCCTCGACACTTCTTTTTCCTTACATCATAATGAAGTTACAGACCAAGTTTTATTAGAATCTGTTGGCTAGAAATAAAGATATAATTTTTCACATCTCAAAAAGTCAATCTTTATTGATAAAAATTGCTGGAAATTAAAGAAGAAGCAGAGTATCCCTCTTACCCTCGACACTACTTTTTCCTTACATCATAATGAAGTTACAGACCAAGTTTTATTAGAATCTGTTGGCTAGAAATAAAGATATAATTTTTCACATCTCAAAAAGTCAATCTTTATTGAACAAAATTGCTGGAAATTAAAGAAGAAGCAGAGTATCCCTCTTGCCCTCGACACTACTTTTCCCTTACATCATAATGAAGTAACAGACCAAGTTTTATTAGAATCTGTTGGCTAGAAATAAAGATATAATTTTTCACATCTCAAAAAGTCAATCTTTATTGATAAAAATTGCTGGAAATTAAAGAAGGAGCAGAGTATCCCTCTTGCCCTCGACACTTCTTTTTCCTTACATCATAATGAAGTTACAGACCAAGTTTTATTAGAATCTGTTGGCTAGAAATAAAGATATAATTTTTCACATCTCAAAAAGTCAATCTTTATTGATAAAAATTGCTGGAAATTAAAGAAGAAGCAGAGTATCCCTCTTGCCCTCGACACTACTTTTTCCTTACATCATAATGAAGTAACAGACCAAGTTTTATTAGAATCTGTTGGCTAGAAATAAAGATATGATTTTTCACATCTCAAAAAGTCAATCTTTATTAATAAAAATTGCTGGAATAAAAAGAAGGAGCAGAGTATCCCTCTTGCCCTCGACACTACTTTTCCCTTACATCATAATGAAGTAACAGACCAAGTTTTATTAGAATCTGTTGGCTAGAAATAAAGATATGATTTTTCACATCTCAAAAAGTCAATCTTTATTGATAAAAATTGCTGGAAATTAAAGAAGGAGCAAAGTATCCCTCTTGCCCTCGACACTACTTTTCCCTTACATCATAATGAAGTTAAAGACCAAGTTTTATTAGAATCTGTTGGCTAGAAATAAAGATATGATTTTTCACATCTCAAAAAGTCAATCTTTATTGATAAAAATTGCTGGAAATTAAAGAAGGAGCAAAGTATCCCTCTTGCCCTCGACACTACCTTTCCCTTACATCATAATGAAGTTAAAGACCAAGTTTTATTAGAATCTGTTGGCTAGAAATAAAGATATGATTTTTCACATCTCAAAAAGTCTATCTTTATTGATAAAAATTACTGAAAAATAGAGAAGGGGTGGAGTTTTTTTTTCGTGGTTATTATTATCCGTCCTGAATTTATTTTTCTCTTTTTATTGAACTTATTATCCGGGGAATAGTCAATCATGTTTTTTAAAAAAATACAGTTGTGGGCCCGGGTCTTTTTTTCTACGTTTCGTCCCTGCGGCTGTCAGCTGGTAGCTGCTAATTTCAGTTTCATACTCTGAATATGTTAAACTTATAATGTGCAAACTTAAGGTAAAATATTTTCTAGATACCAAGTTTTGTTGAATCTCCATGTGATCCTGAATAATTAGTACCCATTGTATAGGTCTTCCCAGAGCCTGTCTGCCCATATGCAAGTATTGTTACATTATAACCTGAAAATAACATCAAAAATGAAAAAATACACATTTTGCACATAGTACTACCAAATGTTGCATTTAATGGGGATCAGTGACCAATAACGTTCTATACAACAGAATGTAGTACACTGCACTACACAGTATGAGCAGAGTTCTATTTCCAGTGATAATATACTTATACCGTTTTATTTTATATTTTGTTTTTTCACCTAGCATGCTGAAAAATAATTTAGTATAATTTATCTTCAAAAAAATTATTCAGGTTCATTAGCTATTTGACGTAAACAAACTTCATTTTATCAAAATTTATTATCATCAATAATATTGTACATTTAACAAAATACATTTCCAAGCACATTACAAACCAATAAGATTTAATCTATATACCAAAATTCCCTACATATAAGGTATTACAATATTATTAGGTCATTGGGATGCAGCATTTGCAGAAGTACATAGTTTTTAAATTGTTTTTTATATTTTTTCTTTAAATGAATTTCAAAAATCTCCATCTAATTTATGTATGATTTGCACTAGCAAGTATTTAACAGCGGGAGTGCCATGTGTTCTGTACAGTTATTATAACTAATTTCATAGAGCATTTTAGGTAAATAATGTAAATTCTTTAATGCACACAAAATATTTTGCTATCCTCCCCCTCTCTTGCGACACATCACTTTTTATCATGTTACATATTATTTTTTATGAATTACTGTATAGACAGCTATGTATAATCTGCCAATAGGATGTGATCCATTGTTTAATAAGATTACCAGAAATTAATAAGTGAGGCCTCGAGGTGTTAGATTCCATTTACCAACATATATTTGTACTAGTGGATATTTTCTTCAATAGCCTAACATAAAATGTAACAATTATTATAAGAACTACAAACATAAACATCTAAATAACAAAGTTATTACAAAAATTGCCCCGACACACATATGTTTTTCACTTACATAGCATATCATCACTTTGTGGCTTGAATTTGTTGAGTGTTTTTGGCCAACTAGGAGCAGTTCTACAAACATACCATATCTGCGAAACTATTAATTGCAGAGATGCTGTTACACTATTTCTCAGATATTAATGGACTATTTATAAAATAAAAAAGTAACTAGTCTATTGCAACAATTTGAAGTTAAAGTTTGAAGAAGTTGGTCTATCAAAAACAAGTTCAACCTTCACATAAGGAAGGATTAAACAAATGTTTTTGGTATGGTAGCTCCTTTGATAACAACAATGTTGACAACATTTTCTTAATAAATCTATCTTGAAACTTTATTAATCTTTTTACATCAGATAGTTTCTTTACTTCTCACAATCCCTTACAAAACAACCCATATGTTGAAAAACACTTCTAATTAATAATTTTAGTGTTTTTTTAAATCATTATATTAATAATAAATAATTATATTTTAATTTTTTCCCTGATACATGTAAAAAATGTAGTAAAAAGAAAACACACCTTCAAATAATTTTCCAATCAGACTTTTGACAGCAGTATCATAGAACTCTTGCTGTGTTATATGTTGTGGAAACACATAATTGTATGTGAATGCTAGATCTTTGATTTGAACTTGCGGTTCCCCATTTACAACATCTATACATTCGTCACATCCTCTCTCGATTTCTTGTTGCATCAACGGCCTAATCCGAAGAGCCACTTGCACTGTATCAATAGTGCTTTTATCTCCTTCAACCATTTTTATTAACTTGAGTTTCAGTTGGTAATGTCTATTCCATTTAAAAAAATCTTCTCATAGTTTTATCCAGTTTTATCTTCGCGCCGATGATCAGGGAAATGTCAATCCTATATTTCTTTGCAAAAGTTTTAAGTTGCTTTTCGTACTACGGTTAATTTCCAGCCGGTTAATGCATTGTTACTAAGTATTACAAAAAGGTTGTTTGCCAAAACAAGAGACCTTTTTACTGCAAAAAAAAGAAAATTATCAAATAACTCGCTCGGAAGTAGAAGACGACGATGAAACTAAAACTAACACGAAAACGTACACTTTTAAAAATAGGAAGTAATTATCGTCACAGCGGCACTTATCGTAATAAAAATTCAATGCAAAAAAAAGAAACCCTAACGTTTAACGGTTTTGATTTGAATTGAAATGAAACATCGAAGGCTCAGCAGGGAAACATGAGCTAACCTAAATGGTAATTTTTCATAAATTTTCAACCTTAATACTTAGGCTCTTGGTATATTTTTGAATAAAAAATAACACAATAAAATATAGCGTTCGGATACTTTTAGGTAACAAATAAAATTCAACGTAACTGTTGTCTATGGGGTAGTGGTAAATTATGAGTGTATTCTTTGCGGAATAACTATTAAAAAACTAATAATTTGTGACCATAGTTGTAAAAACCCCGATCATTACCACTACTTAACTAATTTTTTGATTAACTAGTAACAACATGCGGTTATTTATCCTACTGTAAACTATGGTGCTGTGTTTATGGTTTTCAAATTTAACATAGCTAAAAATACGTTACTAAAACCATTACAATATAAAAAAATATATACAAGACAATATTTATTTGATGTATAATGACGAAGTATTTAAAAAAAACATTTGTTCCCGAAATCAAACTAGATGTCGCTACGGTACGTTCTTGATTTCTCCTGGTTTTCTTTCAAGTTTAAAAGTAAATTAGTTTTCATAACTCAATAAACAACTCATATTCTACTTGTACTTTTTCGTATTTGTATTGATATCTAAGTTTCAAACTTTTCAAATTTCAGTTTTTTAATATGTTAGAAAAGGAACGGAAATGGCTGTCTTTGTTTTTGCAAAAATCAACTTTTGCTAGAGTCGCCATCAAGTGGAGGTGCTTGTTTAGTGCTTTCGTTTTTTTTAAATAATTCCTCATTAGCAAACGGGAGTTTCTAAAATTCTGTGGTAGTTTCTATGTTTATGATCCAAGCTGTGAGTTTCGACATGGCTTTGTTACTTACGACATGGTGCTAGCCATGAACTTAGTAATTAGTACAGGACAGAGTCTGCATTGGTTGTCTTCAATATCCAAAAATGAAGATATTTAAAGACGAAGACATTCCCCGCTTCTTGTTATCGTATTTACAAGTTCTGAATTTCAACTTTTGATGTGTTATGTAAACTTTATTCTGTATAGAATATAAAAGGATATTTTACCTTTGTAAAGAACAATTTAATAAAGATGTGGCTGTATGGATGTTTCCAAAGCTGTATAAACAAAAAAACTTGTCAATGCCAAACCTAAAAAAACGAGCGAAAATCGGTTCATGTATGTAAGCAATATACACTTATTATATTTGGGAATCAGTGACAATTATAGCCGAATAAAAAACGTATAGAGTTTATTCGTTTGAAAATATATAGTTTTTAGAATCATGCCTCCTCAAACTCGGCGATGTAAAACTACGAAAGACGTCAAAGAAAACATTGATGTCATTTCACAAATTAAGAATAAAAACTTCGGCAAGGCGTCAAAACAACGAAAAGCCTTAGCAGATAAAACTAATTCGGCATCAGACGACAATTTGTCCACGGAATTCACCAAGGAAGTAAAGCTTGTGACTGACAAGGGTAAAGAAACAATATTAGACGTACAAACTAGAACACTGCGTGGGAGGAAAAACCTCGGTAAGGGTTCAAAACCACGAAAAGCCTTATCAGATAGTACTTATTCGGCATCAGGTAATAATTTGTCCACCGAAGTGAGTAATAAAATAAAAGTTGTGATTGAAAAGGGTAAGGAAGCAATATCTGAAGTACAAGCTAGACCACGTCGTGAAAGGAAACTTCCTAATAGATACAACGAAAGTAAAGTACTTATAAATTTGTCAAGTTTAGATAAAACTGATCAACATGATTCAAGTAAAGATTCAGAGAAAATTGCTTCACCTTTTGTGTCACCATTTAAAACACCGCAGAGGCATATCAATAATAGTTTAATTACCAACCGTCCTAAGAGAATTTGCCGTTTGCCATCAAAGTTTAGTGATCACTCTGTTAGTCCAAATAAATTTATTCCTGTTGGCTGTAATGCCAGTACTCCTATTATTCAAAATAAAATGTTAAATGTTGAAATGGATGTAGTTGCAACTAATACATTAACTGGTAAAGCAATAACCCAAAAGGTCACAAACCAAAACAAGATAAATTTGAAGAAAAATATAAAGAAGAAAAAATCAGAAATATCTACACATAACATTAGTCCAGATACCAATAATAACGCGAAAAAAAGACAGCTTAGAGAGAAGAAGGTAGTAAATAAAAATGAGGTTCCATTTTCATCTCAAAAAGAAGTATCTACAGATAAAAAAGCTACAGGAAAAAGGTTACTCCAGAATAATTACTCATTCAAAGTTCTTGAAGACAAAACTAAACCTACTAAAAGAGATAATAGTCATCTTGATGTTTACGAGTTCACTTATGATCCAAATGAAGAACCACCTCCTCAAAAGAAAAAACGAAAACGGACAGTTAAAAAGAAACAAATTAAACCTAAAATAGTGACATTTAAAAATAATTATGATTACAATGTTTCAAAAGCTTTGGTAGCTTTGAAGAATGCTGTAAAGAAACCTATTGACTCTCAAATTGATAAGCCACTAGTAGTTGAAAATAAAAATGATCAACAACAAACTGTTTCCACAGCAAACATATTATTAACACCTGCTATCACAACTACATCTTCAGCTTTTAAGGTACCTACTGAAATTTTTGTACCCGAGGATACTCCTCAAAAACCTGTAAATAATACAAGGGTGGAGGATGTTGCAGCAGATTTTGGGCCTCATATGGAACACAATGACATTAATTATTCTCCAGTAACTTCACCAAACCATGGAAAATCTTCTGCACTAAATGATGACACTCTTCAACAGAGTATGAATCATGACCCATTAAATCTACAAGATAACTTAAGTTTCTTTGATGACATACCTGTTGCTAGCAGTAGTATGAACACATCTGTAAGGAGGCCTCATGCCAGTCCCTGGAGGGTAGAATTCCAACAACTCCCAATAAAGTGGCAAGTTAACACATGCATAAAACCTAATATGACACCAGCAGTAGAGAGCTCTTTTATTAATTTTAATAGTTCAAACAAAAAGAAACATGTATACACAAACTTAGTACCTGAATCAGATGAGGTATTGCCAGAGATTGTTAGTAAGGACAAACCTAATTTAACACAAACTAGTATAATATCATATATTAAGGAAGTTGTGGAAAAAAGTGCTAGTAAGAAACAGAGGGCATTATCGGTGACACCTACAAAAGCAAACTCTGTCTTTGAAGATTTTTCTCCAATGTCTACAGCAACAAACAGAGATATGTATAACACACCCAATAAAACTCCTAGTAGAGAAGCCTCCAATAAAACTCCTAGTAACCAAGCTTCTAATAATAATGGGACTCAAAACAAAATTCAAGAAAATGTAGTAAATACAGATAAGGAAAATTCAAAAGATAGCACGAAGAGTAAAAGGAAAACCCAAACACCAAATTCAGCACACAAACATAAAGATGGAACCTTCTTTGGGTTTGATGACAGTGAGGATCAGGAGAATGTTTCACCTGTTAAAATTGACAATCCTAGGGTAAGAGCTTTGAGACCTCGTGCTAGAGCAGTTTTACAAGAGATTAATGCAGAATCAGGGCCAACAAGGGCTAAGATACCAATTGCTGCGAAAACAAATATTGTTGCAAGTTCAGATGCCGTTAATAAAATATATGAAGGCATTAAGTCTGCTACAGATGCACCAGTGTTTCCTAAGAACAATATTAAAAATGATAACACAAATGTTAACATTGATAATCAACCTAGTCTCCAAGACGAAGACTCTCAATCTGTCCATTTATTTGAAGATATTGAACTAATTCATCATTTGAAGGTATGTTATTTTTATTATTTTATTAAAATGTAAATCATAGTCAACACAAGTTTAACCATATCTTTAATTATCTCCTAGTGTGAAGTATTTATAAAATGGTACCACATTTAACAGTTCAACAAGGTTGCTGAACCTTTTATAATACCGGCCCTTCAGCTGCTTAATATGGGATATCAGCAATGCATGTGATATATTTATTTATTTAAGGGTATCAGTATACTATATCTGCTTTCTTCCATAATTATGATTTATGTGGACTAAAAGTAAACTTCCGTTAATTTTTATGTAATGATCTTTTATGGCTGGTTTATTTCATAAATAGTAAAAAAAATATTGATACTAATTTATATTAGAATGAAGCTTTATAATTCACAAGTATTCTACATAATGTTTTTATTTATTGTACATCCTTTCACAGTTCTTAAACTATCTTTATTTATCATCCCAATAAGTCTAATATTTTGATGATGAAAATTCCATTCTCTCTCTGTAGTGAGAATGGAATTTTTGAATTGTTTATGCTAAAAAGTTATTATATTGTATTTCAGCCTTTACGAAAAAGCTATGGCAAGGCCAAAAAAGTAGCTTTTCAACAGACAGTAGCATCAGACAGTGACAGTCAGAGTCTTGATGCTCCACCTCGAGTAGATGATGGTGAATCAAGTGAGGAAGATGATTTGGCAGACCTTACATTCACTATGCCAAATGTGGTTAAGAAAAATGATACTAAGAAAAAGACTACCAAGAAAAAGAAGCAATTATCTAAGAAAGAGGTAATATTAGTATCTATATTCATTCTTTATGTTATGGTATTATATTTAGCTTATATTCAAAAGGAAACTGTAACATACATAACAATGAACACAATATGGTATAACAACTCCTGATAGCGCTCTGTGGAGGAGCGAAACACTAGAGTGGTGTTTTTTTTGTGAGATTTGTTGCTGTTTGTTCATGTGAATGTGTGCACAGTAGGTTTTGTAGATACTGACTGGGTGCGGAAGTTGCTAGATATCATAGATTTTAGGGTTCTAGCAATGGGCTTCTGCATAATATTAATAATTTATTAAATTCTATTAAATTCAAACAAAAAATATATGTTAGTATTTGTAAAAATTCATTGCCATAACTTTTATATTGTTATATTGCATATATCAAAATATATACCCGAGTCTATGCTTAAGAATAATCTTTTTTTTTAATTTAATCTTAATAATAATAATTATGAATAATTATTTATTCATTTAAGATTTCAGAAATATAGTTTAATTGTAATCATTGGTTCGTCAATATACCCACCATTTAAGCACAAGCTTCTCTATTAATGTAATCACATGGGTAGAATACATGCATCCACTGTGGATTGGCTAGTATTAATGACTGGAAATGCCACTAGTATAACTTAACAAGCCTTCTGAACCACAATAGAGGTTAATATTCATATTGTAGAGTGCATCAACCAAAGTGCCGTTGTCTTTGATTCTTAAGCTTTATATGTATACTATTCTTTTTTCTTACTTTAGGGTCTTGTAAATAATTGGTTATCAAAAGGTTTTCTTAGCCAAAAAAAAATTGAGAATAAGGGTATTTAGTTTTCTCCCTGTCAATTTCCGTTAATATTTGTGTGTATTCATATTTTTCAGAAAGCAGCAATGGAAGCCTGGGCTGCGCAGTTCAATTCGATGTGTGAAGATGTTGAGGAGTTTCCTTTAGTTGTAGAATAGTTTTGTATATTTACAAAAATTGTGATGAATATTCGTTAGTATAGCAGTCGAGACCTGTTACTAACGAAAGGCCAAATTTCTTCTATTGATTTTAATCTTTATTTTGTTGGCAGTTAGTTGAAAATTAATTATAGTTACTACAAAAGCTTAATTCATTCATTTCTAAACGAAGAAGTTCGAGAAATATGAAGCGATAGCGTGTTGTCTTTACATTTTGTTTACTTTTTAGAAAATGAAAACACTTCTACATCTTCAATATAAATTAAATCTGTAGATTTCATTTAAATCAATTTAATCAATCTATAATTTTTAAGTAAAATCTTGCCTTTAAGGCAAACTGAAAAAGATCCCTGTAAATAATCAAAAATCTTATTAATTCGTACAGGATTTTGATGCATGGAAAATAATAAGAATAATTGTTTTCGCGGATATAATGTAATGTATCATGCCGGTTTTCAAGTGCTGCCATCTACGCCAAGCTTTGCGTAACATTCCTCCGATTTTTAATTATCAACCAATTAAGGGCGGACCCACATTTTTGTTTAGTCTAATCTTGAAGCGCGACAGAAGCGTATCTGTTTCATACATTTAGTACGCTTAGACATATTTGCACGTTGTGTTGTCTAGTGACAGAATTTTATTCATTTCATTCTAATATATGAAATTTCACGTGACAGCAGAAGTGACACACAAATGTATTTCCGTTTTTAGGCTTAAAATGGGTTGGAGAAAGGCCTTTTGATGTCGTAATGTGATGTCTGACTGTTTACTATGATTTATACTAATATTTCTGTATTTTATTTGAACTGGATTTATTCTCATTAAGATATTATTGTATAATATAATGATAATTATTAAGATTGCGCTTGTAACAGATCTTAACTGATTCTCTCTTCCGTTAAGTAGAAGTAAGCTTAGAATTGAAATCTATTATTTAATTAAGAAATTCGATTTTATTGCGGCCATTTTTTGCCATTTTATTTCAAACAATTTAAAGTTTTGTTTTATTATTGCATTTAAGTGACATTTTATATTTAAAATGGGATATTATATTTTAAGTTAGATTATTAAGACTATTGATCATGACTTTTATTTTGTAATGAGATTACATATATAATTTTGTCTTTTGAGCATTATGTTCAACATTTTTTTGTTTGATTGACCAAAATAATGAAACTACGCAACGGGTAACAGTTTGATAAATGGAATGCATTGAATTTGTTAGTTAAGTTATATCTTAAGATCATCTGTCTTTTTATTTTTTACTTTTTTTATAAATAATATTTCAATAATTTTCGTGTTTGATGGTCACAATAGTTAAGGATTTTGCAATTTTCTACTGATAGTCTATACTTAGAAACCGGATTATAAGTAATATATAAGAATTCACAATATTATTAATGTTTTCTTTGTTTATAACTCTTATTTAATGGTATGAGGTCTATGTTTAATTTTAACATAGACCTCACAGTGAATAAACTATACACACCCAATAATACATCAGGATAACGTGAGATCTTTCTGCTATTAATTTTTAACTCAATTATGAACAGATAAGGCTTAAAACTGATTAGACTGGGTCTGACGTGGTAAAATGTAGTGCTATTCTGTTATAGAACGAAGTTGAATTCACAGTACTGTTACATCATAGAGCTTCAATGTACTAAGATTCTTATTACTTCCTGAAATAGGTTTTATTAGTTTGAAACTCTTATGATGTGACATCGCTGCGTTGACAATTATAACAATAAATTATGAAATATGTTGGAAATGGTAACTTGTATATAAACAATAACTATATAGTGTAAAAACGCTTTAAAATAAATTATAAGTATATTTTATTTTTACAAAATTAACTTGCGTTTCATAATTTGTGGATTACAAGAACCGAAACGCAGGCGGCCATGACGGCTCATCGTGTTACGTCACATTTCAATAAAGTAATAATCGCATCTCAATAGTTTTCTATTCAACATGAATGTTTGTTATTATTGAAATTACTATGTTTACTTACAAATTACTATATATACTTACACATTCTCTTAGTTATGGTATTATAACACAAAGAAACAGCACAGACGTGCCATCTGTTTTTGGTTATACAAAAGGACTTATAAGAATTCTCAAAAATATTAATTTAAGTAACTAATTTGTAGAGCAGATTTATAAAAAATAAAATTTTGAACATTACCAGATTAATATTTTTTTCTGAAATAGCTCGCGAATATCCCGAATTTTATAGAATACACACTTTATACTGTTTAATATTCTTTGACGCAAAAACTGGTTAACATTACCAAGTTCCAGTCTAAAATATATCCCTCAAATTCCGATATTGATAGCCATTGAGTTATGTGATCATCTGTATTAATAACTTCTTTTTATTATTGAAGCTTCTTTCCAATTTGTAAATGCTAAATTGCAATATACCTATACATATCTACTTTTAAAGAACTAAAGCACAAATTAATATTGATTTATTTTAGAGGGTTAAGATGTAATAAAATTACACAAATTCTGAAACTTCGTGAATCAAAAAACAAGAGTGAATATTATGATGGATTTTCATACCTACAGTCAATGACATTGTACATCGTTGCCTACAGTACAATCTTAACGGGAAATGCATTTATTTATTCGATATTTATATACTAATTTATGGGGAAGAGCGTTCTATCTTGTTTTTTGTTCCGGTTCTTAATAATAGATCTGGGGCTGCAAGCAAGCGAGAGATAGGGTGGGCACTCGATCGGCCATGTGGAGATGTGGTTGTATACCAAACTACTACGCGACGAAGGTTCGAGTAAAAACTATATGAAAGAACTCACATCATAAAATTAATGACTTTTTGAAATAAGAATATGGCAGCATAGGTGTCCATAATTTTATTTGAAATTAGAATTCTGAGATTTTTTTTAAATATATAGTAACAACAACTTATATGCGTTACCAAGAGTCTAGAAAAGAGAGTGGCTAGATAGACCAGCAAGTCCTAATTGTTTCTAACCACAAAACACAGAAAGACGTTAGAAGGCCTTGTGGCCGTGGCAGCGTAGTCACGATCCTGGACAAAGGTACAGGGTCATGACTTCACTCACTCATTCACGAACGCGCTGGCTGTAAGTACTGTGAAACACGCCACTTTGTTGGTAATATTGTCGTATAGTTTGTATTGACTTCGAAATTTTGAAATAACACTGTTTGAATATAGAAAAAAAAAACATATTATAAACAGAAAACGTCAAAAATTGTTTGAAGTTAACTCTGGATTTCTCTTAGCTACGATATTATTGAACAAAATTTATACCAGACTAATGACTACCTCATAAGGAATAAAGATTTTATAATTTTAAAGCATAAATATATCATCTTATTTCAATAACAACGATAAATTTAAACGCAAAATCACTACAAAATGCGATGCACCGGCCGTCCGAGCTCAGTACTGTAGAGTATTATTGTTCTGTGACAATAATACTCTACGAGCGCGCGAGCGCTCCTCAACGTTGCTTCCATCTTGATCACAAAAGTATAATTCTTATTGTTGTTGTTGTATATACACGGTACATATACAAAAATAATATTTTATGTCTGTCTTTCTGTTTGTGGCTAATCTCTGAAACGGCTTGACCGATTTTGAGAGCACTTTCACTGGAAGTTGGCTTATGTAATAATAAGGATTGATTAACTTAGACTCATGCTTCGATGCAATTCGACCGATATCAAATCGATCGTCGATTTAAATTGCTAACTAATTCGGCCGATTTATTAGAGATCCGTTTATCAAACAACTTTCTTCAAATTCAATATATTTTTAATTATGAAGTGTGTCTGTTTACGGTTTCATGTTCATATGTTTGCAAAGGCCGGTAATAGGATGGGTGACCTTTTTTTATTTTGCTGAGCTAGGTGGAGTGGAACAGGCGTTTGCCAAAAAATTTGGTCATCCATCCGATTACTGGCCTTTGCAAACGTTGCTTAACCTCTACAATCTCAGATCAAATGCGTTAACTACATCAGCATCAAGCCAATCCACCCAGCATTCCTGAATGGACCCGCGCATAGGTCCCAATGATGGGTGGTGGTGCTAAAGCACGATATTCTTAATAGATGAAACTATTCCAACCAGCATTCCTAACTGCATTCAACACATCAATTAGGATTGGTAATGCTAAAGCACATCTTTCTCAATCGATGATTAATCTACCAAATAATCCGTACTGGGCAAGCGCGGTCGTCCTAAATCACTCGACAAAATAAAATTGATCACCCATCTGATTACCGGCCTTTGCAATCGTCGCTTAATCTCCACAATCGCAGAGGAAACGCGCTATTCACTGCACTTTCGGGCTTTTCACTTGTTTATATAGGTATATTCCCGTATTTTTTGTCAAACTGAATATATTTTGATGATATGGTAAGTTTGCACAACTGAATCGCTCCTCGAAATTGAACTGAACAGAAAATCAAAAGCAGATCGAGCGTTCTACCGCCTTCATATATTTGAAGCGATATCGCAGACCATGAGAGAGGAAATTTGTGACCGATTTTGATCTTCATCTCATGAATAAACACTTGCGATTTTCCATACATTTTATAAGAGCGTGAATTGCATCGCATCGAGCCATGAGTAGAGATCGTTAGGTTACTTTCTATGCGAATAAAGTTGCAGGCACAGCTAGTTTAACATCTTTTCAACACTGACGATATGATGATAATGGGACTGTTTCAGAATGGATTATGCCAAGAAAAAAATAACATATTTCCTATGGATGACGAAAATATTCCGAAATCATCGACGGAAAATATGGCATGAATGTTTTTTTATTGAATATTTATATTATCATAGATATTTATATAATATATAGCCTATGATTTGGCTAAACTTGTTTCTTTTAATTTTTGTTTGATATTAGCATTCGTGTTTTTAAATTTTTAAATTATTTATTTATATTTTATTCCTTTTAGTGAACAGCTAATTATGTATAGAGATTATTTATTTATAATGTACTTATCAAAAGCTTTAATTTGATATCCATAAAGCTGTCATAAAAAAAAAAAACTTTAAATGGCGTCATACACCCGCCATATTTAATATTTAAAACTATA